GAGCTATAGCGCCGCTAAGTTACATAGATTTAGCGTTAAAATAGTAGCACTATTTCATATATGCTTATTTATCATTTGCTTACTAATTTAATTAGTTATTTCCTACTTATAATTTGCTACTAATTTAGTATTTTGCACAATTAAACACTAGAGTTTCACAAACCATGTTATAATGTCATATTGATAATGTTACCTAGACTTATGGAATCTTAGAAATATATTTGTGTTCATTGAATTTTATATTTGACATGTTTTTTTGCATCAATTACTAGTGTTTTTCGTGCTTATTTTATAAAAACGCTATCTATCGTAGCGCCGCTATAGCTCCATAGCTGCTTGAAAAAAGTTACCGCTATTTTCAGTAGACCGCTATTTTAAACTATGTTTAGGAAACGGGAAGGGGTCGTAGCCCTTACTGGCATAAATAAAAACAAGTACATGAAAGGAAAACACTTCAGGATACAAAAGAAAGGAATGGAAAAAAGGAAGACAACAAGATATAATGCTAGAGGAGTTTGTAAATAATTCTTGAATCCGAGGGAAATATTTTTTATTTGCATGCCATAAGAGGGATGCAAACTCTGAACTGAAAATGGCCTTGTAATAAGTTGAAGCTGGCATGTTTCTGAAAATTTTGTTGTATCTAGACATTCAAATGCTCTCTAACACATTAGTATGATTACTTCCATGAAGAACACTTGGTTAAGCTGATGTCTAAATTCTGTTTGAGTGGAAAAAAGGGTCTAATTGTGCAGCACTAAGTAGGTTGAGAATATACCAACAAGTCACCGCAAATTAATGGACAGTTGATGAATAGGTGCTCAATAGATTCATCCGAGCCAATGTTGGATAGAACACAATGATAGCTTGGAATATTCATGTATCTTCTCCTGAGAAGATCTCTGGTGCTTAGTCTATCTCTGTGGAGAAGCCAAAAGAAAACCATGTGCTTGTTCTGACATAAGCTCTTCCAAAGCCATTTGAAAACTGGGTGGACCACTGCATTGCTACTTAACTATCTATACAGCCTGTTTGCTGGTTGGTTTCTGGGCTGATAAGCCCGGCTGGTGCTGGTTTGTTGTAAGAGGAAAACACTGTTGGCTGGCTGATAAGCCCTGGCTGAAACCAACAAGCGAACAGGCTCATAAGCTTTTCTAGATGAGAATTCTTGAGAGCCCTAAATGTAGAGTCATATGTCATTGTCATCATTTAGCTGAAGCGGCTTAGTTACTGCTGTTTGAAGAGCAAGGTAGAATTGCTCGGATAATGGTAAATGAAACATGATATGCAGAGGCATTATTTGGTTAGCCTCTACCACTGTTATCCTTTTCTGGAAATGAGTAAAGCAGGGAAGGACTGTAGGGGTACCATTCCATTCCAAATGTCTTCCCATAAAAGGCTGGTTTTACCATTATGCAGAGTTTCAAAAACAAAACCTTTGGATTTGTCTAAGAGTTTTGGTTGTGTCCCTCCACCAAAATGAGCCTTTTTTGTTGAACAGGCAGACTTCCATTTATAATAACTTTCCCAAATTAGAGTAACCCATGGCACATTAACCCTATTGAAGAATTTATGAAGGTGTTTCAGAGGGCTTCATTGTGGGTTCTTTGAGGGCTTTGACAAGAAAACCATGGGCCATGTAGCCTTTTCACGGTTGTTTTATTTTTTGGGTTATCACCTCTCCACAAACAATTTTTCATGTATTTATCAATTTGATCAATGGCTATTGAATGATCTTGAATGTGCAGAGCAGAGAAGACTGAATTTGTCGGTTTTTAATCTCCCAGCTTTATTTAAAAACGTCGAGATAGCTACCAAACTCCTTTCACATCTGCTGCCCAGGGGTGAAATCAATCACCTTTGTCTTAGTGATCCCTAGAGGTAAGCCTAGATAGGTGAAGGGGAGGCTTCCCTTAGCACAATTAAAAGTTCTCTAGTCTCTGGTCGAGATATTCATTGGAATCATCACGAATTTTGAGTAATTAGCTTCCAGTCCCATATAAGCCCCCAAAAGATCAAGTTGAGACATGCTTTCATAGCTACTAGTTGACGGCTAGATGCTTCTAAAACAATTAGAGTGTTGCCTGCATATTGAATGACTAGGAAACCTGAGTAATATTGAAACTCTAGAGGTAGCTTTAGTAGAACGATCTTTTGCCTTGTTTAGGATAGACTGTAGAAGATCTGCAACAAGAACAAATAGGAGTGGTGAAAAGGACTTGATTTTAGTATACAATTTGATTTTAGGAAAAAAAATGAAAACTTGTTATAGGTTTTCGTGAGTTTTAACTAAATTTCTAGTGTTAAATCGTATTTTAGTATTTTTAAATGCATATTTATTCTAGAAAAACTATTTGGTTAATTTTCTAAAAACATATTTTCTACAATGCTTTTTTATAAAGTCTAATTGACCTCTCTGAATTATTGCGAAAGTCCGATTTACCTCCCTTGCTGCCGATGTGGCGCCACATAGGATGGGTGGTGTAGCAACACGTCAGCCAAAATCGTTTTCAAAACCGCTCAGGAAAGTAAATAAGACGGTTTTAAGAGGTTGGAGAATAATAAAATTCCGGTTTTGCAATTAAGGGAGGTAAATTGGGCTCATACGAGGAAGGTCGGATGGGTTTTTTCCCTTTATATATCTCAACAAATCCCATTCGAGTCTGCTTTTGTTCTTGGGCTTGGCCCTGTTCGTCAGCCGATTTCCCGCGTCAGAGTGCCATGCGGCACGGCCCACCTAACTGCTGCAGGCCACACTGGTGAGACCCTTTTGTCAGCTTATCCTCGGCGAGTTCGTGAACTGCTGCTTCATCTGGATCTCAAACATGATGATAACGTGTTTGAAGTTGTAAGGAAGGAACAAAAGAATGGATGAAGTGCGATTTTCATTGATGTAATCTTATGTTTAAGCCTAATCACTAATCCAAGATCAAACCTTGATCCGTTTTGAGCTTTCTATAAAAAAAGCTGGGTTAAATAAAAACGTTCAAGCCTTGATGCGTCGACGAGGCCACATTGTTCCGGCTAATTTGTTGTGAGAGAAAAACACTGTTCTGGCTAAAAAAAGAAACTGAAAAATACGAATTATAAGAGAAGCGAAGAGGGCTTCCAACACGAACGAAGCGACTCGCACGTGACATTAAACGCGGGCGCGACGCGAGAGGTGAGCCACGCAGGCTCGTCCATCCACATATCCAGCCGTGGGCGCACACGTGAGCGGTTTGTCTCGGGGCGGCGACGCGCGCATGCGAGGCGGCGAAGCAGCGCACGGCGTCCGCGCGTGCCTTCCCCCGCGCGCTGCCAGCAACCACCCACCGGGCACCAGTGATAGTGATGCGGCGCGGGCGCAACAACAAGAGCACCATCGTGGCGGGTTCGGCTGTATTAAAGTCGGTTAATAAATCGATCTCGACTGATTTATTGTGAGAGAAAAATACTATAAATTGATAAGGCAGCTGATAATCCATGGATCCCACCGCCGGTCGAATCGAATGGCTCTGCCGTGCGGCAACAGGCGACGGTTCATGTCGTGCTTGAGCGCCCGCGTGGCGATGCCTCGCCGCGCCCGGGGCGGTCTCGGCAACGGATCGCACTCGTTGTAATGACTCCGTTGCCAATCGCCATGGTCAAACAATTCGTACACGGCAAAAGCGGCAATGATGATGGCGTGTTAAGCCGAGGCCGGAGAGTCCTCCAAAAAGTGATTTTATTTTCTGCGAGCCAGCACGGCTTCGCTTGCATCAGCGTCCGCTGCCCCGGTCTGGTCCCTCGGCATATGTGCGTTGCTTGCTGCAGCAAACTTGCTTTCTCTCTCTCTCCTAGGGCAGTTTGGTTGCCGAAATTTTTGGTAAAATGACACTGTAGCGTTTTTATTGTTATTTGGCAATTAGTGTCCAATCATAGTTTAATTAGGCTTAAAAGATTCGTATCGTGGATTTCGTCTAAACTGTGTAATTAGTTTTATTTTTTTATTTATATTTAATGCTTCATGCATACGTCCAAGATTCGATATGACGAAGAATCTTAAAAAATTTAGCATTTTGGAAGGGAACTAAACAGCGCCTCGGCAGTTTTGCGCTCTGCTAGATCGGCTTCGGCTGTGAGCGATAATCTTGGAGGGATAAGGGATCGCCAGTCTTGGATTTGTCACTGGCATCGAGCACCGCCTGGTACCGACACGACCCATCCCATGTTGCACGGTCATGGAAAGGCAGAGAAGTGCAGCATGTTCGCTCGCTCGGTCGTATACAACTGTGAATTATAAGCTGGAAATAGTATTTTTCTCTCACACCAAACCAATCAGCAATAAATAATCCATGATCGTTTACGACGAAACGAACAGACTGGTGCTTAGTAGTGCTTTGTGAGCTTGTTTGTTTGGGTGCCATTGTGTTGAGCCTTAGCGCATATACAGTAGAACATATTCAAGCTCGATCGATTGCAAGTCCGCCTCAATCAATCATCAAAACAGTTGTTGTTTTCTTCATTGATCTCTGGTCTCTAGTATGCCGAAACAGGTACTGGTAGTAGTGGAAGTATTAGCCTGTGTTTACATTCAGCGACTAAAATTTAGGAGGTGTGTCGAGAGGATGTTGCATGGGGTGTTCGGATACTAATAAAAAATAAATTACATAATCCGTCGGTACTCCAAAAGACGAATTTTTTAAGTCTAATTAATCCATCATTAGCATGTGTTACTGTAGCATCGCGTTATCAAATCATGGACTAATTAGGCTTAAAAGATTCGTCTCACGAACTGGTCGTAAATTATGCAATTAGTTTCGTAATTAGTCTATATTTAATACTTAATGCATGTGTCCAAATATTTTATGAGACAACGACTAAAATTTAGAAGCGAAAGCCAAACACCACCTTACACTGCATGGCAGTAGCAACACCAAAACCGCTCGCTCGATTCTGACAGAGGGCAGGCAGGCACACAGGTGCGGCATGACGAGAAACAGAAAAACCTAACCCAGGTGTCCTCGAGGGATCACCGATCAGTCGACCATGTCCTCGAGGACGACGGTGGCGAGCGGCGGGTGCGCGTAGGGCCCCTTGACCCAGGTGTTGGCGATGAAGCGGTAGGGCGCCTCCGTGAGGTGGATGCCGTCCCAGCTGACGTGCGCGTCGGGGTCGTCGCAGGTGGTGGCGCCGGGGAGCCCGCACGACGCGCTCATGTTGTAGTTGTACGGCCCGCCGCCGCCGCAGCACGCCCGCAGAGCGCCGCGCTTGTAGCCTGCAGTGCGCACACACAGATCAGATGTTCATCAGAATCAGATCAGAGATGCACATCCACCCCCACAAATTTCCAGCATTTATATGTACTCCTACGCTGCTGCTAGTAGTATTAACCAGAGGACAGACAATAACTTGTCGTGGCCGCACAGTGCCAGGTTGGCCTTGGTGGGCATCGGTCGGGCCATGGAAGGATCCATCCATGCACGAGACACGAGTGAGTGGAGCCAACCCAAGCAAGCAGGAGAGACGAGGAGCATTCGGTACGCCGTACTAGCAAGCACAGGCGAACTGAACTCACACTGACACTCACGCCAATCAGCTTGTTCGTTTGGTATGGCTCGTCGTAAACGATCGTAAATTTTTAACCGGAACAGTATTTTTCTCTCACACAAACCAGCTAGCAGTACTTCTTCACGAACCAGCCACGAAATGAACCAGCCACCCGAACAGGCTGATTCTTGCTCTGGCAACCCCTAACACTACTACGCCAACGTAGGCACCACCAACACCCAACCATCACTCTCGCGGCTGGCCTCCGGAATCGCGATGATCCTCTGCCGGCCGAGGACCAGCTCGCGGCGGCGGGCGGGGTTGAGAAGATCCACAATCCTCGCGCGCCAACCGCAACGCGACATGGGAACTTGGAAACACATGCAGACGCAGGGAGACGACGGAGACCTACCCAACTGTATACCTAACGCAGCTCGTACGATGCCTGAGCGGCTGAGCCTCCCCCGCGACAGGCGGAAGGGAGAATTCACGCGAGCTCGTTTTCTTCCTCGCTACTACCACTGTTGGACTGCTACTGCTCGGTCGGCCGGCCGGTCCAGTGCTACAGTCAGTGTGGCTACCAGACCAGACCTCTGAACACTTGAAAATGCAAAGGCAGTACGGTGGCGCAGCAAGGCACCAGCCCTGGGACTGCTCGAAAACGAACCTCCATAAAGGCAAGGCGCCCAGTGCTCTGCTCCTATTCCTATTCGGCTATTCCTTCCTGTACTGTTTGTTGCACGCAGCCATGAGAGAAGCGCGACGGACGAACGAGAAGAAGTGAAGAAGTGACGACTGACCGTAGAGGTGCGGGGTGCGCGCGAACTGGATGTAAGGTGTGTAGTAGTCGGCGTAGACGATGCGGGACTCCGGCCGCCGGCGCTGGAGGCGGTCGAGGGCGATGCGGAGCATGGCGTTATGGTAGAGCGCCACGCTGTTGTACTTCTTCAGACACCCCGTCCGCGGGTCGTACTCGGACCTGTCCTCGGACGGGTACATGGTGAGCGTGATGGGGATGCACCCGGCGGGGAGGTTGCCCGGCACCACCACGTGGCGTGCTCCTTCGTCCAGGAGCCGCTCGACGCCGCTCACCAGGGAGGCCACCACGGCGGGCACCAGCGTCGTCTTCACTTTCTCCAGGGACCAGTCCGCCTTCCACGCGAAGCTGTAGTCGTTCCCGCCGAACTCGCCGAACACGAACAGGGACCTCCCGAACAGGGCGCGGCAGGCGGACGGGTCCGACGGGCAGATGGTCTGCTTCACCTCCTGGAACCACCCCAGCTGCACGTTCATGGAGGTGTTGAAGGGCGGGATGCTCCACACGTTGTTGTCCTTGAAGTACTGCAGCTCCAGCGCCGTCGCGCCCATCACCGCGAAGTTGGCGCCCTGGCTGAAGTTGGTGCCCTTGTTGGCCGACGGAGGGAGGAGAGGCAGGCCGAACGCCTCGGCTGCAGTTGCAGTCAATCAAATCGAATCAATCAATTTAGTTGCCGGAATTCCGGTGAAGAATCACCGAATCAAACAGTCATTCCAATCAAAATCAGCCACCGCTGGAATTCCGGTAGACGAGACAGAACGAGTTATATACCCAGGAAGTCGATGACGAGGCGGCCGTTGGAGCACCTGGCGTACGGCGGCGGGAACTTGGGAATGTTGGGCAGCTTGCCGGAGTTGATGATGACGAAGTTGCCCGTGTCGGAGAAGGAGTCGCCGAAGCTGAAGATGGCATCGTAGTACTGCGGCAGCGGTTCGCCCGACACCGCGGCGGCTGCCAGGCACACGACGAGCACCAGCACCGGCAGGCACGCCGGCGGTTGCCCCCTTCTCCTCGACGCCATGGCCAGGCCACTTACTCACCAATGAGCAAGTAAAGAGAAACCAACGAACCAACAGTGTGATTGTGTGAAAAGAAAGAGAGAGTAAGGCAAGGCAAAAAGCAGGCAGGGGCTGCTGCTGTTCACGACTCTGCTGAGGAGGGGGTTTGGATTGTGATTGCTATATAGCAGGGGGCAGGCACATGGATTACACCTTACAAGGTGGTGCTAATTATGCCTCTGTTTGCTTGCTGTGTTTGTTTATTATTATGGGTAGGCCCTTTACATATATTTTTAATTTCTCTCTCTAGTCTATGCACACCGTTTGTTTTGTTTGTGGCTGGCCATGGCCATTGACCAGTGCATGGTATGATGGATGGGCTCTTCTGCACTGTAATACTACATAGGGACTAGCTAGGGAGAGCATGGCATGGTGGATGGAGATGGTGATGAGGAATGGAAGATTTGTTTGGGTGATTTTGATGGGCAATAAGGTAGCTGGAGTAGTGGGGTGCTGGACACGGCACACATGCCTTGCTTGCTTAGTGGGTTGTCTTCTCTGTGCAGTGCAGGGCAGGGCGTCCGGGTGTCATCTCACCTGGGGACATCTATCACTGCCAGCCCGGAATGTGTTATCTTTTGTGCCGATGATAATCAAGTAGCCGTTGAGGTGACAGGAAAATCATCGCTTGCTCGTAAACGATCGTAAATTTCCAGCCGGGAACAGTATTTTTCTCTCACACCAAACCAAAAGCAGAGGCCACGATACGATCGGCCTATTCTGCGAATACGCATATCGTGACACGGTTGGTAAAGAAAGGCATGTAAAATTCGAATAACTTTTTTCATTAATCTCGTCACCTTATAATCCACGGCGAACAGTATTTTTTTCTCAATCAAACATAGTTTATAAGATTTTCAACATATATTATAATAAGCCAATTCGAAAACGAACAAGCTGTAGATCCAAAACTGTGTCAGGAGATAGATGATCGTTGTAACGGAACTGCCACACACATCTTGAGAAAACATGTACACAGCGCCTATATATATTCGCTCACCCATCGCCGCGCGCGAGAAATTATAGGATGGATGCGTGCAGCTGGAAATCCGATTCGCCCATCGCCATCAACAACCACGATCGTCGTGCATGTAACGGGGTGCTGCAGTAGTCGCACCACCGGCCGTGGCGTCGACGCCTAACCGCCTGCTCCACGCAGAACCAAACAAAAACGAACGGGCACAAAGCAAGCCACCACCAGGACGCGCGCGCGCATTCGCCCATCCGTTTGTGCCTCTTTTCCCTCGCGGTCTCGGTGGTTTCCTGCGTGCGTTTCCCATCTGCTCCGGAGCAAAAGGCGGTGAAAAGGGACGGGGGGTCCATGTATGGGCAACGCGGGAGCAAAGCACTAATCACAGTGCACACTGTCAGTCAGGCTGCGCGCGTGCTTGCCGCCGAGAGGCGAGAAGAGAGAGAGATTCCGGTTGGTAGAAGCGGACAACGGAGGTGGGGCAGCACGGCCACGGGAAGGTTATGATTCCGGCAGTCAGCTGAGCAGCGCTACAACGGCTCGCTAACTGCAACTTGCTTGTCGCTGTCACTGGGACGTGGACGAGGGAATTCTGTTTGCTGCTGATGCGCCGCTGATCGGTCGATTGACTGAGAGGAGCGGCAGGCAGGCATGTGAGAGCCACTACTGAAGGGTGGGAGTGTGATTGGGATCAGAACGAACGTTATTGGTGTCAGGTACGTACGGTGGACGCTTTGTTTGAAAACTGACGAGTAGAGGACCCCCGTTTGGTGTTAATTATTCCTAACTGCTTCCATAACAAGTTGGATCACCTGCTAAAAGAAGCACCGGTGGTGATCAACCATATCAGTCCATTATGTTTGCCTCGTCTCGTCTAAAAAAAGGAGAGAAATAGTTAGAACTTGGAAGTTATAGTGGCGTACGTGTAAGTAACTATACTACTACTTACTAGTACAATGATCTAATTTATTTACATGATCAGTCAACGCGATCAACTGGACCCGATGCTGCGATCCCCATCGCCTCTCACTAAGGATCGAATACGCCTATGATCCTCGCTGAACAGCAGCCAGTACGAATTGATTAAACTAGAACCATCAGCTGGCGCGGCTAATACACCGCCACACCACACCGACACATCTCTGTTGCCCACATTTTGCACCACTCTGTTGTCCGTACTCGACGATGGGTGGTATACAATAATTAATAATAAATACGGTTTGAGCTCCGTTCCGTTGGCAGAGCGTATGTATGGATCCCCTGCAACGGCTGTCTCACCCCTTTACTTCGTGAGCCTTGATGAATGGATGAATTGGCCGGCTGGTCGTGTCCCCAGTCCCGGCTCCCCCGATACGTGCGCGACATGTGGCAGTGGAGTGGGCAGCCTCAACTTGCGTTTCAGCAGTTTTGTGCGTGCGACATGTAGCAGCTGGACGTCCGTAGCAGTTGCTATCGCCATCAAAAGCAAAGCATGTGCGTCGTCGCTATAGCTATATTTTATCCAATTGCTCACCAACGTTCTGTGCCTTTCCGTCTCAAAAATGTCTCTTTCTTTCCGTTCTATTAGCAGGAAAGTTAATTAATTGGCATATTCTTCTTGAGCTACTCCTGGATAGATACTGTATAGTACAGACACCACTGAAAAATGCGTAGGCCGTGCCTTCGTTCGCTACTTGGCTGCGTCACTGTATCCTCATGAGGATCGAGGCTAATTGGTGGAAGCTAGCTATTCCTTTTGGTCCTCGCTAACTAACGTCCATAATTGAGAGATGCAACATTTTGCAGGTTCCATTCAGTCAGATCGTCTATACAGCCACCACGTAGATGTAGGAGCGGAGTAACAGCATGCAGGCTCCACGGGAAAAGCGGTCAAAAGGCGCGTGAACATGAAGGACGGGCGTACAGGCACAGTACAGGCGTACGGCAACGGCAGAACACAAGGCAGATGACTAGAGGGAGTCGATTCCCGATTATTTCCCGTCAACGTGCACCTAGCGCCGTGCGGTCCCGAACTCCCGATACGCAATCGGCATCTATGAAGATGACATTGGTGGTTGGCAATGGCAAACTAACGAACGGCCCTGCCGGCCAGCACACACAGCCGCATGGCGACCACCTGGGTCATCATGGACTTGGCCTGTGCCCCGGCTCTCCGCGACGCTGGGGCAGCGGGGACGTGCCGCGCCGCGCACGCGGAAAGAGACGTGCTGCGGCCACCGCCTCTGCCGCCAAGGGCTCCATCCGTCCCTCCGCTCCTTCGCGGCTCCTCCCAGCTCGCGCGCCCGGCTCTGGGTGGTACGCGGAGGAAGCGGTGGCTCCTGGTCAGTCAGGGCCGTGTCGTGCGTGCGGCGTGCCTGCGTTCGTGTGCGTGCCGAACTTGTCCTGCCTGTCTGCCGCCGAGGCCGAGGTGCAGCGCTCTCTCCCGTCTCCCCCCGCGTGCGGCGTGCCTGCCTGTTTTGCTTGCTTGCTCCCATACGCACAACCTGCGTGTAAGCTGACGCCCAATCCATCATGAAACGTCGCGTAGTACTCGCGTTCCGGGGCCATTAAAATTGCTGGATTGGATTGGATACTTTTAGATCTGTCATATGTGTGTCTAACAAACACACGTACGCACAGTACATGTACATCCCAGAATGCATATAGGAGCATGTATCCAATGGGTACCCGATTCTGAACGCTGGATCAACCAACCAGCAGGATCTAATGGTTTCCTTGGTGTAATCAAGTACGTACTACTAGTTGTTGGCACTGTTCCCTGGACCCTGGTGGTAGATCTATCTAAATGAACTTTTGCAACTCATGCATAGGGGTTTTACTTGTACTACAGAACAACTAGTAGATATAAGTGAAATTGATTCTACTCTGGCTCCTACTGCTACGTGGACCACATTTCGGCTAGCTTCTCTATTGTCAATGCTAGAAGATTCTGCTCCCAATTTTGATGCAGTTAGAAGAGCATGGAAGCTCACGCATCCGTGAGACCATGCCTCGATGGTGGGGGTGATGGTCAGACTGTCAGAGCCTCATGGTAAACGGCTGCTTATCTTGAATATCTGATCTCGATCTGATATCCTGCCCCGGCCTCGCTGACTCTCAATTGTTGCGAGATTCCTTCCTCTGCCTGCTGGATGTATGATGGCTGGAGGACAAATCGTGCACTGGCTTTTCCCACACATTTATTAACATTAATTAATTAACTCCAGTACGCCATGGTAAACACGGATAATCAAAATATTAACTCAATTCCAGCTCATGCATGCACATCAGATCTTGTACCGAACAAACTAGCATGCATGAGCGCACTCACTTTGTGGTAAGCATGTCTATCGGTAGCCTCTAGCAAACTGTCATTATCGTAGTAGTGTAGTACTCCCTCACTTTCTAGCTCACTCGATGGTGGCAAAATTATTCGCCAATAGCTAGAGCTCCGCTGCGCTAGCGATTTGGCAGGGCCAACCCCAGCTCAATTTAAACAAATTTGCTTCTTTTTTCTTTCACAAATTACACGGTACATGCAGAAACTCGCAAACATACATTCGCGCATGCAAATTTCTATCCCTATAAGCACTTTCGAATGCCTAAGCTGGCAAATCTCAAAGATGTCAGACTCATCATCATAGCATGTGATCATCTCAAGAGCCTTTCTAAATCTCACTCTCTAAATCATCATTTGGAGAGTCATTCGTATAAAAATCGCTTTCTATATCTTTTCATTTTCCAACGGTTCTTCTATATCTCATGTGCACTCTAGAGAGCCATTCTCGTCTTTTATTTTTGACTAGCGAAAAATCCAAAATAGAAAATGCCTATATTTGGATAACCATTTAGAGAAGCTGTTAGATGGTAGTTTTTTTACCAAAATCTCTATTCCTGGTATTTAGGAACGATATAGAAAGTCTCTCGGAGCTATTATATTCTTGAATGAATTTAGAAAATAGTATCGGCATCCGTACCAAGTTGAGTAGTACTTGAATCTAAATGAACAATATC